TTATTCGTAAAGCAAAATTTAAAAAAAATATTCATGTTTAAGATATTTTTATGAAATTTAGAATTTAATATGGAGAGTAAAGGAAATATTTAGTTGTTTGCACAGTATTTTAAATTTTTTTATGAAATAGTTGTAGATCGATTATAGTTTTGCATGTAGAGTTAGAAAATGAAATTATTTTCATAAGTATGTACAATATAAAAAGAATATGATGTGCACAGCACATGACTCCCTAGTACGGAATATTAAGCTATACGCATGCATTTCCTGCATTTCATTTAAACTTATTTCCTAGTATTTCCTTAGAGATATATTTCTTATTCAATTAATTCAATTCTCACTTTTTGACAAGGTAAAAATACATAACAACTCAAAATATCTGTATTAAAAATTGAAAGATATAGAAAAACAGAAAACACCAAATACAGTTAAAAGAATTAAAAGAATTTTTTTTACAATTAAAATCACAGTTCCTACGCAAAAACAAGCAATTCGGCCAGCGGACAAGAAGGCAGATTTTTCGGTGCGTAAACAAACCTGAAAGTTAACTTTTGGTCTCACTCGGCAAAAAGTTAATTTGTTCTGGACACTATGCTGAGTCAATATATAGGATAATTTAATAACTTAAATGATTATTCCAGAATGGATTAAGCATAATTTAATTCCAATAATAAAGCAAGACGTTACTTTGTTCTTGCGAAGCTTAGTTTCTCTAGATTGGCAACAAATCCACTATTCTGCTAAGTTTCAAATGTAAACAAGTAGGACTGCTATACCCAAAAAATTAGGCCTAGCTTCACTTAAACAACTTTTAAATTGTTGATAATTCTACAACTATAACATTCAGGTTAACTAAAGGCCGCGTAGTTGCTAGTATAAAATAAGAAAAGGTAGTATTCTGTTTTGGAATTTTATTTCTCTTCTTTTACTGCTCCCTTTCTTTATTGCGCCCTTATGAACTGAAATTTTCAAGGAAAGCAAAGTAAAAAGATTGTGAAACTATTTATGAAAAGATATTATTCTAAGAAATAATAGATGATAATTTTTCTTTTGTAAGCTTATATCATACATGATAATTTTTCCTGATAAAATAATGATAAATTTTCGTTTATTGACAAATGTAATTTAGTGAAACAGAGCACCTCGGATTAACTACTAATAAGTAATAAAAATAACCGTAACATAATATTTTGCCATAAAAATTATTCAAACTATCTGACTTCCTGATAAATCATGAAGAATATTGTTTACGGTGTTTTGGTTATGTGATACCAGTGATCTGTTATTTCCTGTACATTTAATTCCTAACACACAAATATTTCCTCGAAAAGTGCTTGGGAAAGAAGAGAAAGAACTGTTATTTTTTATGTTTTTTTGAATTAGAAATATTTGTTATCTTTTATCTCTTTAAACTGCGTACAGCATATTTAGATTGCAACACGCGCATTATTTTCATTTGATGCAAATTGCACCTAAATATACTTTCAAAGAAAATGCGTTCCGTATGTTTGTTTATATCTGTTATAATTTTGTATTAAAATTTATAGATTTATGAATAGATTTTATTTTATTAATTTTTAAAGAATTAAAAATTTTTAGTAGAGATAAATTTGTCAATTTTAATCGCCTAATCAGAATTGATATACTCTGCAGAATTTTTAACAATGAATTCATAAAAAGTTCAAGATCTGAAGTTATATTCATTATTTCTGATACTATTCATCCCTGTACATGTTAATGGAGCTTCCTCCTTTCCCAGGTGCCAAATCTGATGTTTGAGGATGACGTTAAGAATAGTTACACATGTACTGTATTCTCTTATCGGATGTTTAGCATTATAGTAGATGCTGGTTTGTTGTGAAGTAAGAGAAATGAAAATGCAGGTTTTTATGGTAAAGAAAGGAATAACTGTCTTCCAGAAACCGATAAATTTAATGATTTTTCATTCTGCTAAGTATTCGTAAATATGGAATTCAGCAAGATTCATGACACAAATTTGTGCGTAAAAACTAGGAGAAATGCTTGGCAATGATTTCTGGACATGCTATCCTGAACTATACCTGGAAAGACTCCTGGTCGGCGCCGGTGCCAGAGCTGTTTCAATCCGTACAATGGCATTGGGCGGTAGAATTTAAAAGCTATGCAATTTTTTTTATTTAGGGAGATTACTGGGCAGCAGAGATTGCACTGGAGGGCAAAGTGCCTAGAGCCGTTCTCGCTCCTGGTTTCACAGCAGTAGTATCTTTCAGTCTTTTAACTGGACATAATTGTATTAACTTTAATTCGTTTTATATCACACTCTCTAATCTCAGAATCTCAGGTATTGTGATTTGAAACAATCCGTGAACAGAGAATATTTAAACGCGTGTTCTGCGTTTAATGATTTTAATTCTGCAACCCAGAAGTATTAGGTTTGTTTTGGTTTGGTTTCATTGTGGCAAAGCACTCGAGGGCTACTTGCCTAAGGGGTGGGATGTCTTCGTGTAGAACTTTCTAAGAGAAACTGGTTCGTATACATGGAGAAAACGCCTATGCAGCGAGCTCGTTCTCGGAAGCTGAACCTCGGTCCGAACTACGAGTGTTCAGCGACTCTTTCGTCCGGCCGCTGGTGGGCCAGAAGTATTACGAGCCAAGATGACTGATGTCTTAAGTGCCAAAATCCAAGCATTAATAAATAAATAAACTTAATTATATAATAATTATAAATAAATAAACTTAATAATTAATAAAATTGCTTTTGCAGTAAGCTACGTGACGACGGTAGAAGTGAGATGAAAATTCGCTGTTTTGCAGTATTCAGTCTTTTAAAGGCCATTAGATCATAAGGGCAAGTATTAGCTGCATAAAATGAGATAATGAATTCCATTAATATTTCTTTCATTAATTTCATTAATTTTCTTCTTGGTTACTATTTTGGAAGCAAAATAGTAACCATAGCCTATCTCGGGATCGAACCTCGGCGAACAGGCAGATTGCATCAGTATTTTCAGTGGTTTTTCTGAAGTGGATACGAGCCAGTTTTTCTCAGAAAATTCTTCATGAAAGTATCCATTCCCTTAGGTCAGAGATGGGCAAACGTTTTCGGTCACGGGGCCAAAATCGAAATAAAAAAAAAAGTTTGCCGGGCCAAGATAAATTTTTCTAAAATTTTAAAAACAATATACAAGTATTACAATTTAAATATGTTAATGACATGAATGAAACTGCGATTTCATCTTTATATAAATTCCTTACATTGGGGTTCGAAGGGAGATGTACTGATTCTAAGGAACGAGGCTAAATGTTCATCTGTCAGTCTACTTCTGAAATAATTCTTTCTAAGGTTCGAAGTTGAAAGCATTTCCTCACATATATAAGATGAAGTTAAACATAGCACTGCTTTTCTAGGCGTGAGATATTAAAATTTAGGAAACTGAATTTCGATAATGACTTGTAAAACTCTAATTTTGGCATATTTAGAAATTACTGCTTGAGATGATTGTTAGATTGCAACTCAGTTAATTCAAACTGCAAATCTGAACTCACTACTTCACAATTCACGTTGAAAGGCATAGTAAAAATATCCAATTCTGTTTGAATGGCACTGAAATCTTGAAATCTTCTTCGAATTCAAAATGAAGTATTTTCAAGCCATCTTCATAATTCTTAAGCTTCTGTTCGTTTACTGAGGGTATTGAATTTAGCCTCGGAAAATGAGATACGTCGTTCTTAGCTAGCTGCCCAGCAAAACAGATTAAGTTTTAAGTTAAGTTTTTTCTAAAAGGTCTAATTCACCTATATTCGATTCCCATATGTTTGCTTCCCGAGAAAGAGATAACGCTTGTTGGTTATCTACAGCTATAACTAACAAAGAACTTCCGCTTTTAACACTTTACCGATTGAATTCTGTCTGTGCTCGCTATTTCCGTCAATTTTGTAGAACAAAAATAGAGAAAGTAAAAAGATCATCAGTTCTTTGGAAAAAAAGAAGGAAAAAATAATATTTAAACAAAGCAGAAAAAGAGACGGATATATAATATATAAATATATATTTCTTTTAATTTGCCTCGGACAAATTAAAATTCTATCCGCGGGCCGGGTAGAACCTTCTGGCGGGCCGCAGTTGGCCCGCGGACCGTAGTTTGTCCATCCTTGCTTTAGGTAAATGGCCTTCATGTGCTTTGCCACATTCTGCTAACCTAATCTAATCCATTTTATTGGTTTCCTACTACTTGGCTTTGCATTTTGATCATCACCTCATTTAAAATGCAAGACAATATTTTATACTTTATATTGCGTATTTCTATTTCTGAGGCATCTAATTCTTAATCTAGTAGACCTATAAGCGCTTAAAATTGTTTCAGATGTTCAATTGAAGTCTGAAATACGGATATCAGACTGGAATTTCTTTTAAATCTTATTGTTTTAACTTTTAAAATATTTTTTTTTACAACTCCATAATTGAAACTGTAATGGTAACTGTAACTTGAAATTTTCAAATTGCAGTTTGTCACTATTATCATTATTATTATTTCTGTGTTACTTTTAGTAATGTTAGGAAAGATGCCTGTATAATTTCTTAAAACTGCGAATTGTGTTGTCATGGATTTTAAAATAAATGAAATAGAAATTGTATTTGGAATGTTATTTCTATCATCTTGGTATGCAGTTTCGTCATTGATGGAAAATGGTTTTGTTTAAACGATATTATGCTACTTTTATTGATAATCACACTACAGATTTTTTTAAAGTTAAAATAAAGCCCATTGTGAAAAAAAATCAGTAAATAACCGATTACTGTGAGAAAAGTTCTTTACGCTGCCTGGTGTGCAAATAAAAAATGTTGTTACTGAAAAAATAACTTAAATCTGATTAACAAACTGATGCAAAGGGATTTCTGAAAATTTAGGAGAATCCTGTTGTACGTGAATTATACATTTGTTTTTCTTACATGTTTATAATGACAAAAACTCACTTCCTTTTCTTTGCAGATTCTCCAGCGGGAGATCGAAGATCGCGGCAAGGAGCTCACTTCTATGGTTCGACAATGTGAGTCTTTGGAGGGCGCCACTGTCGCCGAATCGAAACGCCTGCGTCGGGCCGCGGTACACTTGGAACGAAGCTGGCACAACATCTGGATCCGGTCATTGGAGAAGCAGTGTCTTACGGAACAGCGTTTGCAGCAGCGTCAGGAACGCGACAACGTGAGTTTTTGTTTACTTAACATTGTTGTATATCTATGCTGAAGACTTATTCCTCTTGTTACTTGTCTCACTGGATTACCACACCTGACAATTTATTTGCCGGTAAGAATTTTCAGAAACTGTATTTCATCCATAAAATAAATCAGGTGTCAAGCACACGATTTTATCTGTTAAGTAGTCATCTCACTTGAAGTGTTCTGGAAAATTAGTGACTTGTTAAAGATGCCTGCACATTAAAAAAATCGCTTCATCATTTTAATTTAATTTATTGTATGCATTATAAGTGAACTCTTTGTTAATTAAAAAGTAATTTCAGGCATTTAATTAGTGATTGAGCTAAGAAATATCTTCTCTGTAGTTTAAACATTAAAGTGCTGGAAAGGGGATTTAGTGTTGGCGCCAGTGTGTTGAAATTCAGAAAAGTCTAAAATAGTTTCAAATTTAATTGAAAGGTCATTGAGTAATAAAAATTCAAACGATTCAAAAGTAATAAACACAGTTTTTAATATTTTTTTTTTACTTTTTAATGTGTTGATTTAAATAAAGATGCATTAAAATAAGAGATATATAATTAGCGATGAACTAGTCAGGGAGAACGTAACAAACCCTTTTGTGCGACCGTTAAAATCTGAAACTTTCCAGATTTTTTTCATTTTACTTTTTAAAAATTAAGAATGTAAGAAAATTTCTTGAATATGTGCATTCGTCTTTAAAATTCCAAGCAGCTTTTCTATAACCCAAAATGTTTCTTTGAAATCCTATTTTTTAGGAAAAATCAGTAATGTTTCTTTTTAAACTGATGGAAAGTAATTTAGATTTTATTATTTACTCGTTTTAAGTATATATAAAAAGGATACATTTTTTAGCCCAAAGGGCCAATTTTCCCAGAAGGGCTATTAATTTGATTTTAACGTTTTGTGTTGGTTCATTATAAACGGCGTTTCATTTTTCAAATTGTTGCCACCAAATATTAGATTATATTTAAAGAACCTAAATAATGAAGAATCTGCATGAATGTTTGTACGTTTCTCGCACTGTGGACGACAACGATACCTAGAGACATCAGATTCTGAATAACGTAGTCCTCCACTCGAATAAGGGCATCTGGAAGCCGAATTTGGAATTTGTTTTATTATCTATTTCATATTTTGTAACACTTTAACGAATTTTTGATTAACGAACTCAACGATTTAAAAGCGAACAGTGGCAACACTATACGAAGGAAAAAAAAAACTATTATCTCCAGCGCACGAGACTGTATATCGAAAATTCTAAATAGATGCTCTTTTTAATTTTTTTTTTTGGGGGGGGTATTACTGTTGAATTGAATTTTATGGTTTGAGTACGAAGGACATGATATTAAATAAAGAAAGGTAACACACAAAATGTTAAAAAAACACAAATGTTAAAAATAACACACAAATGTTAAAAAATTCGGGTAATGTAACACACAAATGTATGTAAATGTAGCACACAAATGTTAAAAAATTCGGGTAAGGCGTGATATAAAACCCGAATGATTTCAGATTTATTTTTTATTTATAATTGTAACATAGTTAGTTGGTAGTTGCACCAGTGATTTACCAAGGGTTAAATAAGTGCTATCCTTCTATTTCACCTTTTTATAAGTTAATAATAACGTAATGTAATTATAACGTAGAAATGGTCGAGATTTTGTATGTAAACATTGAAAATATGTGACGTCATAACTAAACTAACCGATTGGAAAAGGACCTGACACATTTTGCGAACTTACTGAAAGATATAATCTAAGTTTGTTTAAATGTACATGAGAACTGGTGAACAGATGCAAAAGAGAAGCTGATTATCAGACGCTTTCTTTCTTTTTCTCCCTCTCTTTCTGAATTATTAAACTGTCGTTAATATTTACATGGATCATACTGTTTCGGTTTATTACAATACACGAACGTTACAGCTGAATTAATAATTTGTTAAGTTTCGGTCAGGTACACAATTTCTTAATTAAACAGATATTACTTTTTTCACTTGAAGCGATATCACTCGTAACAGATAACAGTCTAAAGTTCTGTTATTGTTTGTCTTGTAGAAAAAGACGATAATCTAAATTTGGCACAAAAATCGACTAAACTTGTTGACATATATTTATTTCAGGCATCGACAGATAATCACATCAAGAAAAAAAAAACAGGTGCCTTTTTTATATTTTAAAGAACATACCAGTATACTCTTTTATATAGAACTGTACTATTAAAATCTTTGCGCGTCTGTTCGTTTATTTGGGATATTATCTGCGCAACTGCGGGAAGTTGGATTGGATTGGATTATTCATTTACGGCAAAGCACACGAGGGCTATCTGCCTAAAGGAAGGGATGCCTTCGTGGAGGACTTTCTAAGGGAAACTGACTCGTATACGCGTTACACATGGGAAAAACCACGAAAACGCCCAAGCAGCCAGCCCTTTCTCGGGATTCGAACATCGGATCGAACTACCAGAGTTCAGCGTTTTTACCGCTCGGCCGCTGGTGGGCCGGCGGGAAGTTGAGTTTCGAGAATTGAGATCGACCGTCTCAAACACAACCTTGGTTGGCATTCTCCCAAAATACATAGACTCGTCCCAAAGGGGCGTTTTTACTTGCTGCGACGTGAAAGGTCACGTGAAAGACTTCTCTCCTCCTGAAAGAGAGAGTTTTATATTCTAGAGAGAAAGAAAGTCTCCATCATTCCACCCTATTTTGAGAATAATTTGGTCCGAATGGCGCATGCGTGTTTGCGCTTATGGTCGCACATGAGGCGGTCGAACTATACCTCTGGCTTCCAAAAATTTGCAGGAAGCCATTTCGACCATTTTCCTTATCTTTGTACAACTTTAATCAGCCGAGATAAAATATATCGTTATATATATATATGAAAGAGTAAAGTTTTGCATACTTGTGTTTCAGAATCGGCGGTACGGAAGTGTTTGCAGTTGTTTACAAGTCTAATTAATTTTAGGGACCTTTCTGCAGACGGTATCACTACCACATTCATTTTACTAGTTATGCAATAAGTATAATCTGTGACAGAAACTTATGTAAATAATGTATTCGTAATGAGAAATTACGAATACATATTTACATAAGTTTCGGATTACATAACTTAGCATTTTTGATGATTTAATCAGGAGACTTTCAAGAAGATAAATAAATGATCACAGTAATTAAAAAACAAATGACGTATCAGATATTTAAAAATTAAGTATTTGAAAAGTAAAAAATTTGAGTTTTCTAATAAAATAATTCAGTGCATTAAAAAAATAATTACAACAGTTACCAGCATTAAATAGATTTTTAAACAAGTTTTTACCAAAAAGCAACTATTTTAAAATAAAAAATTTTACCTGGAATTTATTGTCCCTAGTAGGAATTCGCTGAGGTGTCGGCAATAGCGCATTTCTATTTTGCATATCAAAAGTACCAATGAAATTTATTACTGTGTAATTTTTCATTTAAGGCCATTTCGTTACGTTTTTCGTACACATCATTATATTAACTTCCTTCATTTTTTAAATACTGATGATGATAATAATGTTACCTTAATATTAATATAAAATATTTTTTCATTATATATAAATCATTAGTAGTAGTAATGTCTACTAGCTGTAATGTCTGCCAGTTTCTGACTTAGTATGTTTCATAAACAGTTAATTTTGTTAAATTAAATCAATATGTGACTTTCATGCATATTTCTGAAAGTAATGAATGTATTACATAGTTAATTATTAATTAATTTTATTTTAAAGTATGGATTTTTCAGCAATCCACTGTCTAAGAAATTTTAATAATTTGCTTAATAATTAGTATTGCAATTAGCTGGATTTAAAAATTTCTTGTAACTAAATCCATTCTGTAATCAATCAAATACAATAGTTTCCACGATTAATGAAAAAATACTTAAGAAAAAATATCTGTTTATTCTATTTCAATGTAATAGCATATAACTAAGTAGTTTCTCATATGCATATTAGAAAAATGCGGGTAACTTGACAGTACGAGTACCCGTATTGGTGTAAAAGATGAAAGATAAAAAGGAAAGTCTTTCAAGTAATTTAAACGTTTTCATTACTATTAATTTTAATTTACATATAAAGGAGTAATATAATAGTTGAACCTGCTGATTAAAATAAACTTTTCTGTGAATATGTAAAGATAAAGCATGCTTGAGAATTATAAATTTAAGAACAAATTTATGTAACGAAAACAATAGAAGAGAATTTGCGTCAGATTTTTGATTTCTAATATGCGTTTATTTAAATCAGAGGCATGAATGAACTACAGAGCTTCAACATTTGCATAGAGCAAAACGTAATTTTGAATATAACCAAATTACAGATTTAAAAAAAATATAAATATTTATCTAAGAGAGAATAAAACTTTCTTCCAAATTTCGGGTAGAATATCAGTGTTAAGTACTTAGAATTTCAAATTAGATTAATTTGGACAGGCAAATGAGTCAGAATAAAAGCAGCACTGAAATTCTCAAATTCAAATACTTTTGACTGCTAATATAAAAGTGCGCAACCAAAAACAGCGAATGAATTTCTGGGTAAATTTAGAATAAAATGTAATTTTGTATCTAAAATGGTAAACTATCTTAGTCGATGAGGTAGATATCATTCTAAGAAACACTAAATTTCCTCTTACATTTCGATCATAATTTCAGCTGTCTTTTATACTTAGATATTACATTAAGTTTAACTATAACTAAGTCAGAATAAAAACAGGAATAAGATTAAAATCTGTAATTTAATTTAAGAGCTTGAAATTTAATCCAAGAAGTATACTTAATTAATTGAATAGATTTCAGTTAGTGTTCTGTATATAAATAGAGTACAAATTATGTAACACATCTTTAAAAATTTTCCTTATGTAAATTACATTTTATTTAACAGTTATAAAGGATTGCTTAGAGGAAGATTTGTTTATTAAAGTTATCGTATATTGTTTGAGATTCATCCGACCAAAGTGATTTGACAAGTAAC